AATGTTTTCAGAAAAAACATCGCAGAAATATTTTTGGGCTGGCATCGATTCACTTTAGAGTGACGCACCGAAAATCTGAAACTACATCCGCTATAAAAACACTTTCGCATGAATATCAGCCGCCAGGAGGGCCGGACAGTATATTATTATTATAATTAAACGCCTACCATGCAGTGTACAAGATATTCTGCATACTATTAATTTAATATCTATTTCATCCAAAATTGTTGAAATAATTAATAAGTGAATTATAAATAATTGCACACGAAAATTGTATAAAATTAAACTTTGAAGATGTATAGATAAATAAATTTTTTATTTAATTGTAAATGGAATTTTAATATTTTATTTTTTTTTATGTTTTTAAATTTTTTTAAATTAGGATGTTAAAAAATTTAGATAAGAGGAGAATTTTTTTCTAGGAAATTAACTGCATTAAAATTAATTGCATGTGAAAACTTATTACCTACATAAATGAAGGAAAATGCGATGCATAGAACGTGATAGAACACCCTTCATGTGAGTGATCTCCTCAAAGTACATCACGATCCGAGGCACCGTATATCTAACGGAATATGCACACTGCAGAAAGATGAATGCCAACGGATCATGCTTGGAAACCTCTCCTTTTTAGGCAATCATGTATAAAAGCGGATAATCGTCCACGGATAGAAATACGTAATTGCTGAGCCATCCTTTTTCATAAAGTATTTAATTAATTAAAAATGAGGGATTCTGTGGTAAAATTATCTTTTGATATATAAAAAAAATTTTTATAATTAAAAAAAATATTATTTAAAATTTTTTTAACACTACTGACGATTAATATATAAGTATCTATTTTTATTATTTAAATATATAAATATGTATTATTATTATAAAGTGACTAAGGATAACATAAATTGATCATTTTAATCATTTAATTTATTGCAATAAAAATCACTAAAAATCTTAGAAAATGTTATGAATTTGAAACAAATTATTAATCAGTTATTTTAATTACTTTCATAATCCTAGAATTAATCATGTATTGTATACAAATAATTTTCATCTTTTGTAATAAAGAAATTATTCCTAATTATTCTTAAAAAAACTGCTCATCTTCGTTTGTTTTTTGCGTATTTTCCTAAAATCGATATAGATATTTATGAGAAAATATTGGAGAAACAACAAACTGATGCTGTAACAGAGTTTAGGTCAGTGACTTTGGCAATGCCCTTGTCGCAGTCCCTACAGGATGCATTACTTGGTGCATCGCACCAATTAATAACCAGCTCTTCGCATAATACCAAAGCATTGACATTGTACCCTGCGACCGAGAATTCGAAAGCACAACGACACCTTTGCTATCGCACTTTCACTTTTTAAGAGAATAATATACAAATTTTTCTTCTTATTACAGATCAATAGTAAATACAGCGCGGAACTCGCGCAGGAATGTCTGGAATGGATCAAGACGATCACTGGCGAAAACATAAACACCAACGGGGACATGGACAACTTCTACGAGATCCTGAAAGATGGCATCTTACTTTGCAGGTATTTGAAAAAAATCGAAAAACCGATGCTTGAATTAAAGAACCACCGAAATTACAGCGAGATAAAAATGCTTTTGCTAATCACATTTTGTTCTTCTGCTAGACTGGTGAATGATATCAAGGAGGGCTCGGTAAAGAAAATTAACGAGACGTCGCTGGCCTTTAAATGTATGGAGAATATAAATGCCTTCCTAGAAGCTGCGAAATCATTAGGTGTTCCGCCGCAAGAGACCTTCCAGACCGTAGACCTCTGGGAAAGGCAGAATCTAAATTCCGTTGTTATTTGCTTACAATCTCTTGGAAGGAAGGTACGGTTCCATTTTGTAAATATAGATATACCGGGTGGCTGATATTTTGACAATATAATCTTTTTACTAACTGCAACAATGTCGAATATCTTTATATTATATAATATATAATAAAATAAAATGTAAAAATAAAAATTTTCTTACAAATTAAATCTTAAGACTAATAATATATACCAAAAGTTTGCTATTTAATATTAAATATTAATAAATTCATAAAAATAATATAATTAAATTCTGATTAGAGATCGTAAAATCAACTATAATGCATATAAGCTTATTTGAGAATATAAATGCTTATTTGAAAATATAAATTTTTGTATATTGTATATTTTAATCTCAATCACAGAGATGTTAAATCATGTTTGTAACGCAGAAAAATCTCAATTTTCTGATACAAATATTCATTATCTTTCATTATTAGATATTAGATTTACATCTCTATCAAATGGATTTGTTATCAGTATTTATATATCATTCTTTACTCTTATCAAGCGTTTTAATACATGATAATTTTGCCTTTTCGTTTATAAACGTCTCGAAAATTCCAACATTCCATAATATTCATATTTATAGGCAGGTAACTACGGCAAACCAAGCATCGGTCCTAAAGAAGCAGATAAAAATATACGCAATTTCACCGAGGAACAATTGAGGGCCGGACAAGGCGTGATAAGTCTACAATATGGCAGTAATAAAGGTGCTAATCAAAGTGGCATTAATTTCGGAAACACAAGACACATGTAAAACATCCACCTCCGTATTTGCGTTGAGAAACAAAACCATTCTGTTCTCATCTCTCTTTTGACTTTATTACCGTAAAAGTACTCCTCTAGATGTAGCATACGCATAATAGATGTTAACGAGGTCCAAAATAAAAAGTATACTGAATGATATGTATCCTCATCACAAGAATTAAGATGAGACATAAGATTTTTCAAATAAAAAAATAATACAAGGTGTGTGTATATATATATATACATATTATATATATATATATATATACATACATATGAATATATATATACATATTATATATAGAATCACAGAATTATTTCAAGCTAGT